ATGTTCAACAACAACAACAACAACAACAACAACAACAACAACAACAACAACAACAACAACAACAATTACTAGCACGTGGGGACACTCCGTTCTCACCAGTGCCAGGGTTTTCATAGGAGGCGGGCAATACCCCCACTTTGTGGGGGGGCCGGTTCAAGCTCTACCAAATTTCCAAACGACTCTTCGCCACCACCCACACCCAGCTTCCCGCCCTATGACGTTCGGACACTTCACTTCGTGGCATGCGGACGACCGTGGCTACTATTCAGGGCCCCGCGGCCGACGACGACGGCGTGCGCGCGCGAAGAAAAAACGAATGTGTCCCGCATGGTATTATTTGACAGGGATGATGGCCCTGGCAGGTGCGCAACCGTTGTTGCAGAAGTTCGAAAAAGTTGCTCGCAAAAGCCCGTTTGACAGAAATGTTTAAAAAGTGTTGGGTTTCCTACGAATCCGCAAGAGCGCGCGGGATGAAATTTTGACATTTTTTTGTTGAAAAACCATTGGTTTTTTGATGTTTTTATGTTAAAATCGCTACGAAAACTAAGGTTTTGGAAGGATTTCGTCTTGCGCGCGCGAATGTCCACTTTACCTTATTTTTTGCAAGGGATTCTTGAAGTTTGGTTATGTTAGAACAAGAAATGTCCACTTTAGCTTGTTTTTTGCAAGGGAAAACCGATCGTAACAACACAACCGGATCCGGACTCCCCCGTTTTGCCTGAGACTTCCTCACGAAAATGATGAAAATGTGGCTGCGGCCTAGGCGCGGCGGGGGGGTCGCGCACCAGGGGTCCCAACAATAATTATTCTTTAAGAAGAAATAATGTTCAACAACAACAACAACAACAACAACAACAGCAGCAGCAACAACAACAACAACAACAACAACAACAACAACAACAATTACTAAGCACTGGGGACACTCCGTTCTCACCAGTGCCAGGGTTTTCATAGGAGGCGGGCAATACCCCCACTTTGTGGGGGGGCCGGTTCAAGCTCTACCAAATTTCCAAACGACTCTTCGCCACCACCCACACCCAGCTTCCCGCCCTATGACGTTCGGACACTTCACTTCGTGGCCTGCGGACGACCTTGGCTACTACACTGGCGCATGGTTACAATGACTTGTTGTGGTAACATTTTGTGGAAGCTAGTTTAGTATACGACTTATACCCCTGTTCCAACAATGGACACGTGTACCGTTTTCCGACGTTTTTCCGTTTCTGTACCACACAAGCAAAGACACTTATTTTGAGTGGTACCACGTGCGTGGCGCCAGCATACCACAGGACTTGTTTCCGTCGTTGTGAGACGATATATGCTCATTATTGTTCTGCGGTTGTCGTTCCGGCCTCAATGTGCAATACTGGCTCATTCGTCTACGAAATACACGTGACTACCTCTCTCTGGTTGGAGGTCCTGATGGTTGTGGTTGTCCCGATGGTTGTCGCGATGATTGTCCCGATGATTGTCCCGATTGTTGTTCCGATGGTTCTCCCGATGGTTGTCCCGATGGTTGCCCCGATCGTTGTCCCGATGGTTGTCCCGATGGTTGTCCCGATGGTTGTCCTGATGGTTGTGGTTGTCCCGATCGTTGTCCCGATGGTTGTCCCCATGGTTGTCCCGATGGTTGTTCCGATGGTGGTCCCGATGGTTGCCCCGATGATTGTCAGCGATGCCGGATCCTCACGCCCCCCGCCGGAGGAGGAGGAGGAGGAGGAGGAGGAGGAGCAGGACAAGGCGAGGCGGACACATACGTGCTCTGGAGACATACTAAAGAGACGAGTCTTTGTGCTCATCATCTTCTGGCATACGCCTGTCTCTAATGGCACGCATCGGGCGCAATACTGCAAGCTGCGCTCCTGGCACCAATACATCAGGGGCCAAGTGTCCCAGCATGGTGCATCAGAGCTGCCGCAGTCGGCCAAAGGAGGCCGCGACAGCTCTGGGCCATACTGCTCGTCAAGGGCTTTCGCCGACAAAGCCATGACCCATCCAAGAACACAGGCGATACCTTGATCCGAGATGGCTACGGATGTGACAGTGATCAGTGATTTTGTTCGATGACGTGGTGACACACGGACTTGTTGTGGTAACATGCCGACGACGATTTTCGAGGTCCCACGGTGCGATTCGTATGATTTTATGTTGCGCGGTGCTAAAATTCCTACGAAACCCAATGGTTTTTGAAGATTTCGGCGTGCGCGCGCAAAGAAAAAACGAATGTGTCCCGCATGGTATTATTTGACAGGGATGATGACCCTGGCAGGTGCGCAACGGTTGTTGGAGAAGTTCGAAGCACGTGAACAAGTTGCTCGGAAAAGCCCATTTGACAGAAATGTTTAAAAAGTGTTGGGTTTCCGACAAATCCGCAAGAGCGCGCGGGATGAAATTTTGACACTTTTTTTTGAAAAAAACCATTGGTTTTTTGATGTTTTTATGTTGAAATCGCTACGAACACTAAGGTTTTGGAAGGATTTCGTCTTGCGCGCGCGAATGTCCACTTTACCTTGTTTTTTGCAAGGGATTCTTGAAGTTTGGAACAACAACAACAACAACAATTACTAGCACGTGGGGACACTCCGTTCTCACCAGTGCCAGGGTTTTCATAGGAGGCGGGCAATACCCCCACTTTGTGGGGGGGCCGGTTCAAGCTCTACCAAGTTTCCAAACGACTCTTCGCCACCACCCACACCCAGCTTCCCGCCCTATGACGTTCGGACACTTCACTTCGTGGCCTGCGGACGACCTTGGCTACTACACTGGCGCATGGGTACAGTGACTTGTTGTGGTAACATTTTCTGTAAGCTAGCTTAGTATACGACTTTTCCCCCTGTTCCAACACTGGACACCTGTACTGGTTTTTCGTGGTAACATGTTCCTGACGCTAGAATAGGAAACCACGGTAAACCAGTACGACGCCGGTACTGTCTGTAGGTCCTACAATGATATGGACTGCTTTGGCTGGTGAGGCGCTAGCGTCTGATACGACGTTTTTCCGTTTCTGTACCACACAAGCGAAGACACTTATTTTGAGTGGTACCACGTGGGTGGCGCCAGCATACCACAGGACTTGTTTCCGTTGTTGTGAGACGATACATGCTCATTCTTGTTCTGTGGTTGTCGTTCCGGCCTCAATGTGCAATACTGGCTCATTCGTCTACGAAATACACGTGAGTAGCTCTCTCTGGTTGGAGGTCCTGCTGGTTGTGGTTGTCCCGATGGTTGTCGCGATGATTGTCCCGATGGTTGTCCCGATTGTTGTTCCGATGGTTATCCCGATGGTTGTCCCGATGGTTGTCCCGATCGTTGTCCCGATGGTTGTCCCGATGGTTGTCCCGATGGTTGTCCTGATGGTTGTGGTTGTCCCGATCGTTGTCCCGATGATTGTCCCGATGGTTGTCCCGATGGTTGTTCCGATGGTGGTCCCGATGGTTGTCCCGATGGTTGTCAGCGATGCCGGATCCTCACGCCCCCCGCCGGAGGAGGAGGAGGAGTGTCCCATATGGTATTATTTGACAGGTATGACGAATGTGTCCCATATGGTATTATTTGACAGGGATGATGGCCCTGGCATGCGCGCAACCGTTGTTGCAGAAGTTCGAAGCACGTGAAAAAGTTGCTCGCAAGAGCCCGTTTGACAGAAATGTTGAAAAAGTATTGGGTTTCCTAAGAAATCCGCAAGAGCGCGCGGGATGAATTTTTGAAACTTTGTTTTTGAAAAACCATTGGGTTTTTCATGTTTTTATGTTAAAATCGCTACGAAAACTAAGGTTTTGGAAGGATTTCATCTTGCGCGCGCGAGTGTGCACTTCGTGTCATTTTTTGCAAAGGATTCTTGAAAGTTTGGTTATGTTAGAACAAGACATGTCATTTTATATTGTTTTTGGCCGGGAAAGCGGGCCTCAACAAAACAACCGGATCCGGACTCCCCCGTTTTGCCTGAGACTTCCTCACGAAAATGATGAAAATGTGGCTGCGGCCTAGGCGCGGCGAGGGGGGCGTGCACCAGGGGGCCCAACAATAATTATTATTTAGAAGTAATAATATTCAACAACAACAACAACAACAACAACAACAACAACAACAACAACAACAACAACAATTACTAGCACGTGGGGACACTCCGTTCTCACCAGTGCCAGGGTTTTCATAGGAGGCGGGCAATACCCCCACTTTGTGGGGGGGCCGGTTCAAGCTCTACCAAATTTCCAAACGACTCTTCGCCACCACCCACACCCAGCTTCCCGCCCTATGACGTTCGGACACTTCACTTCGTGGCATGCGGACGACCGTGGCTACTATTCAGGGCCCCGCGGCCGACGACGACGGCGTGCGCGCGCGAAGAAAAAACGAATGTGTCCCGCATGGTATTATTTGACAGGGATGATGGCCCTGGCAGGTGCGCAACCGTTGTTGCAGAAGTTCGAAAAAGTTGCTCGCAAAAGCCCGTTTGACAGAAATGTTTAAAAAGTGTTGGGTTTCCTACGAATCCGCAAGAGCGCGCGGGATGAAATTTTGACATTTTTTTTTGAAAAACCATTGGTTTTTTTATGTTTTTATGTTGAAATCGCTACGAACACTAAGGTTTTGGAAGGATTTCGTCTTGCGCGCGCGAATGTCCACTTTACCTTATTTTTTGCAAGGGATTCTTGAAATTTGATTATATTAGAACAAGAAATTTCATTTTATAGTGTTTTTTGCAAGGGAAAGCGGATTACAACAAAACAACCGGATCTGTATCACATCGTTTTACCTGAGGCTTCCTCACGAAAATGATGAAAATGTAGCTGCGGCCTAGGCGGCGCAGGGGGGGCGCGCACCAGGGGGCCCAACAATAATTATTCTTTAGAATAAATAATGTTCAACAACAACAACAACAACAAAAACGGAGAGAGGGAGCGAGAGACAACGAGAGGCAGGAGGAGGATGAGGAGGAGGAGGATGAGGAGGAAGACGAGGAGGAGGAGGGAGGTGGAGGAAGAGGAGGAGGAAGAGGAGGAGGAGGAGGAGGACAGGGGCGGAGGCAGAGGCAGGGGCAGAGGCAGAGCGAGAGAGAGGGCGGCCAGAGCAGCAGACGGTCGGCGACACTCGCTGTTCTGCCGCCCCGCGGCCGCGCGACCCCGGGGGAGCAGGCCCTCAGCAGATGGCGGGGGCTGCCGACGCGATCTTCGGCCAGATCTCGGCGCACTCCTTCGCGACGGGGCCCTGGATGGCCGAGCCCTTCATCTCGCCCTTGTCGTTCACGATGACGCCTGCATTGTCCTCGAAGTAGATGAAGACGCCGTCCGAGCGGCGCCACGCCTTCTTCTGGCGGATGATCACACCCTTCAGCACCTTCTTGCGCAGCTCGGGCTTGCCCTTCTTGCACGTGCACAGCACCATGTCGCCAGGACCGCCCCTCGGCAGAATGTTCAGGCGACCGCCGATGCCCTTCACCGCCATGATGTACAGATTTTTGGCACCGCTGTTGTCCGCGCAATTCATCAGGGTGGCCACTTGGCAACCCACAGACATCTTGAGCTTGGCAGCATTGCCCGCACGTCCGCGCTTCATCGCTTCCTAAGCTCGCTGCGGGATTATTCCGAGGGATGCCGCAAGCCCCCTTGGCTGGAGCCGAACCCGCTGCAGGAGATGCATAGGACACAAGGAGGACGAGGAACAGGTGGAGGCGTGAGAGGTGGAAAAGGGGGAAGGTGAATCAAACGGAGGAGATGGAAGATAAAAACGACGACCACGAGGGCGATGGCGATGAGAATGACCAGGAACCAACAGATGGTGTGCAAGCAAGTCGGTCAAGCCGTAGGAAGCGCAAGCTCGAAAGGAGCAGATGCTCAAATGTGCGACTGCTACCAGCATAGCGACTGCACGCACGTTCCGACCATCGAGCGAACACAAGTGACAGGTGTGGCAAGCGTGAACCCCAAGCAGTGATGTCTTGCACTTGGGACGTGTGATACATCGGGCGCAAGTCTTGTAATGCACGGTTTGTGGAGCAAGGTGCGTAGTGGAAGTTATGTGGTGCAGGCTACGTGGCGCAAGCTATGGTGGTGCAAGCTGCGTGTGGCCGCTGCGAACTTGAACGGACACGACCACGTGCGACCGAATACGGAAAACACAGCCCACGACTTAGAGAGGTAAGCCAGAACCCCGTTCTGCAAGCACTGCGCCTCAACAAATTCTGGCCAGGAACGAGTAGCTAAATCTTCTCCTGCGCGAAGCAAACACTGCTCCAAGAGATTACTTCCAGAACTTCAGGAGCATACACAAATGACTCCATCGTCAACGCAAGCAGCCTGGAATATTGACAACGAGGCCTCGGTCAGACGTGACACACACCAGCCAACACAGCATGGATACAGCTTCAAGTGAAGAAGATAGCGAATGAACTCATCAAGAAGATAATGATAATCCCAGCCCTGGTCACGGCACAAAGCATCGGGAAAAGGAGGAGGGGGAGGAGGATGAAGGAGAATGATGAGACAGAGGATGATAATGAGGAGCGCAAGGATGATCGAAAGGGGGATGAGGTGAAAGGATGGAGGAGGAAGAACGGAAAGAGAGGGGAGGCAGAGAAGAATCGTCTTTCGGGTGGAGGCAATATTTGTCCAAGCCCAGATACCTGGATGCGGAAGGCCTGCCCTGGCCGAATGCCCCCGCAAGGAAAAAGGATGGAGGACACAAAGCCCAGTACTGGCAACGTGGGGGGCGGGGGGCGGGCAGGGTCTGGTCCAATGCCTAGCTTACGTAATACGCAAGGCGGCTAGGCATGGAGATCCCGAAAAAAAAGTTTGCCAGCGTGGACCCAAGGCAGTGGTCGCGTGCATTCTGAATGTGCGCGCAGTGTGCTGGAATCTGCTGATACAGTACAATATTGGGTGAGCCTTCATGGGAGTTTTCGTGGACCTCCGCGGCCCTATCATAGGCGTGATGTTGACCAGAATTCGCCCTTATGTCCACCGCCCCTCTTCACCCTGTCGTCCAGATGACGTTGAGAGTTCGGCTAGGCTACGTCCAGGTGTCGACCAAATCCTACGACATCCAAACGAAACCCACAGACCGCCAGGAATTGTGGGACCCTCCTGAGGGTCCCATGGAGGACCACACAATACAGTACATACTGAGTATCGTTTAACCGATCCCCATCCCCAGCGGCGTGGCCTGGGCCCCACTGGCCGATTCACTCCCCGTAGATGGGGAAACAGGTCGTTCCCTTCGGGTTTCGAGGGGTGTATCCCCAACTGGGGTGGTAATTTGGTGGGGGTCTCGAAGAGGAAAGAGATGGGGATGGGGATCGATTCAACGATACCGACATACGTGTGTATAGGCATTTCAGGTATGTGCTGCAAAAACATGTGTTGCAACATGCGGGGCGCAGGCACCACGGGGTGCCTTCTTAAGCGCGCTATATACGTAGGGAGCGAAGCAAGCGTGCAAATATCCTGAAGCGCAAACCAGCAGCAGGAGAAGGAGGAGGAGGAGGAGGAGGACGAGGAGAAGGAGAAGGAGGAGGAGAAGGGGGAGGAGGGGTGAGGGGGAGGAGGAGGAGGAGGAGGAGGAGGAGGAGGAGGAGGAGGAGGAGGAGGAGGAGGAGGCGAGGAGGAAGGGAGGGGGAGGAGGAGGGGGAGGAGGGGGAAGAAGAGGAGGAGGAGGAGGACGAGGAGGAGGAGGCGGAGGAGGCGGAAGAGGAGGAGGGACGGACGGAGCGCCCACAGACGGCGACCGGGCGTGACCCTGGAGAAATGCGAGCCACGAGCGAAGCGCCCACGGGCGGCCACTGGGAGAGCACCCGGAGATGCCCACGCCAACGCACGGGGTGCCCACGAGGCGCCCATGGGCAGCCACCGGGCAAAAAAAAACGGCAAGTGCCACCCAATTGCCTTCGAGGGAGAGGTAAGAAGCCCTCGGTACGAGCACCTGAAGTGCGGATCTGCGGGGGAGGTGGGCCTCAGTTTATCTCTGCGAGGCGCCCGAGAAGAGGCCAGTGCATCTGTGTCCGCGGCATGGCGGACGCCAAGCCGAAAAGGCGATAACAGACACATAGAGGAGGGAGGAGGAGTGGGACACGACATCATCGGGACTACTTTCAGTGGGTCTGACATAGCCAAGCTCGAATGCTTCACCCCCCGTCTTCGGCCCCTGGGCGACTCTCGTCCTCTTGTAATTTCTGAAACGCGCCCCGGGAAGCCGTCCTAGACCTGGATTCCAGCGAATTGTTTGAGGAACGTTCCGACATGCGACCCTCCTCATCCACAAGAACCCTCGTTCATCGAGACAACAGATCGCACAGAGCTAGATTTCCCAGGGAGGGGTCGGCTTTGGTCAGCGCGTCTGCTGCCATCCGGCCGTGGGGAATCCAAACGACCTGACTCCCAATCGCACTAAAGCTACATATTACAATTGCCAGCTCGATGGCGTTCCTCCTGTTTGCTCGAGATCCGGCAGAATTGCGGGATAGCGCATCAAATCCGCCGGCCCTGTCGGCGTGTGCGAGGGGTTTGGCTGTTCGAGTCGTCGTCTCCGTCGGTCGTCGCCTCCGTCGTCCTCTTTCCCTGCAGCTTCCTTCTCAAGCTCGTGCGCGAAAGAAAAATCTAGCAGTGTCGTAATCGAGTCGAAGGGAAACCCCTTCCCTTTGATCCCTTCACCAGAGGGGGGGGTCCCGGGGGGGTCCCGGGGGGCCGGGTGGGGGTCCCGGGGAGGGAGGGTCCCGGGTGGAGTTGATAAAAGCGTGTGTGCGTACCACCTCGTTTTGCTGCGTTGCATCGCCATCACCAGCATCATCATCCTTGTAATCAATTTGTAATCCGCCACAAAAGAAATCCATTTCAAATCCGCCACAAAAGGAATCAATTTGAAACCCGCCACAAACACAATTGATTTGTAATTCGCCACAAAAGGGATCTAATTGTAATCCGACACAAAAGAAATCACTGTATATTTTGCCACAAAAGGAATCAATTCGCAATCCGCCACAAAAGAAAACCTTCTGTAGGGAGGGGGTGTAAATGGTGGGTCGATCGCTAGTAGGATTCTATGAGAGGTGGATCCATCTCCCATCGGATTCTATTAAAGGTGGAAGTATCTGGAATGGGATGATCTTAAAAGTGGATCCATCGCTAATAGGACCCCACTAGAGGTGGATCCATCTCATATAGGATTCCATTACAGGCGAATCCATGTCTAATCGGATCCCATTATAGGTGGACCCATCTCTAACAATATTCAATTAGAGGTGGATCCATCTGTAATAGGATTTTGTTAGAGGTGAATCCATGTGTAGCAGGATTATACTAAAAGGTGGACCCATCTCTGTTAGGATTCCATTTGGAGCGGATCGATCTGTAATAGACTTTCAGTTGGGATGGCCCCATCTCTCATAGGATTCCATCAATTGTGGATCCAGCTGTAGTCGGATTCCATTAGAGATGGATCCATCTGTACCAGGATTCTAGTAGATGTGGATCCATCTGTAATAAGATTCCATCAGAGGTGGACCCATCTGTATCAGGATTCTGGTAGGATTGAATTGGGGGTGGACCCGTTTGTATTACGATCCTATTAGAGGTAGATCCATATGTAATAGTATCCTATTAGATAGAGGTGGACTCATGTCATGTAGGACCCCATCAGAGGTAGGTGGACCCATCCCGAATAGGATTCTCTCAGAGGTGGACCCATATGTAATAGGATTATATTAGAGGTGGGCCCATCTGTCATAGGGTTCTGTTAGAGATGGATCCACCCGCACTAGGATTCCATTAGATCCATCTCTAATCAGATACTACTAGAGGTGGGTCCATCCTTAATAGGATCCCATTCGAGGTGGACCCATTTGTCACAGGATTCTGTTAGAGGTGGACCAATCTCTAATAGCATGCCATTGGGGATGGAACCATCTTATTAGGATTCAATTAGAGGTGGATCCATATGTAATTGGAGTCCATTAGAGGTGTATCCATGTCTAATTTGATTTTATCAGAGGTGGATCCATCGCTAATAGAATTATATTCGAGGTGGACGCATATGTAATGGGGTTCTATCAGACGTGGGCTCATTTGTAAAAGGATTATATTAGAGGTGGTCCATCCGTACCAGGATTCCATTCGAGGTGGATCCATCTCTGATGTGATGCCATTAGTTGTGGACCCATCTCTAATGGGATTCTATTAGAGGCGGATCCATATGTCATAAGATTATATTTAAGGTGGTTCCATCTGTAGTGGGATCTTATCAGGGGTGGATCCATTCCTAATCGGATTCTATGGAAGGTGGACTCATATGTAATAGGATTCTCTCGGAAGTGGATCCATCTGTAGTACGATTCTATGAGAGGTGGGTGTATTTTGTGATGACGACGATGATGATGACGAGCATGTGTTTCAAGATGCTGGTGACGATGATGATGATGACGAGCATGTGTTTCAAGATGTTGCTGATGATGATGGTGATGACGAGCATGTGTTTCAATGCGCTGCTGATGACGATGGTGATGACGAGCATGTGTTTCAAGATGCTGATGATGACGATGGTGTTGACGAGCATGTGTTTCAAGATGCTGCTGATGACGATGGTGCTGACCAGCATGTGTTTCAAGATGCTGCTGATGACGATGATGATGATGACGAGT